GTATAGGAGAGGTAGCAGCCAGAGTAGAATAGATAGGTTTTTTTGAAGGACGACTCTGCCTTCTCAGCACCTGAGTGTCGGGCGGTGGAGTTCTCCGATCACTTTATGCTTACTGTGGTTTTGAATGTTTCAGACACGCCCCCGAGAGGAAGGGGCATCTGGAGGCTGAATTCGTCTCTGCTGGAGGACGAGGAGGTGAGACAATCTTTCGAGGTGTTTCTTTCAGGCTCAGGAGACGGTGCTGGATTTCTGCAACAGTAAGTCGGAGTGGTGGGAGCTTACTAAGGTGCGGATCAGCAGGTTTTTCAAGGCCATAGGAAAGAAAAAGCAGCGTGATAAATATATCGCCTACCAACGCTTACGGAGGAAGCTCGATCGCCTTGTTTCTAGCGGTGGAGATTTTGGGGCAATCTCCGAGGTCAAACTTCTCCTCAGTAAATACCAGTACGATCGGCGTGCCTCTTTGGTTCTGGAAAGGGATTATGGGAAGTACCACTCGCCCGACCCTTTTCAGAATTACAAACAGGGTGCAGCAATTAGGACGGTCTCTGCCTTGAGGGATAGTACGGGGTCCCTGACAAGATCCAGGTCAGGGATTCTGGAGGTCTCTAGGGATTTTTACAGGGACTTACTGAGTGAGAAGTGCCTTAACCGGGCAAGGATGTTGAGCTTCTTGGAATCTACACCAGGTTTGGAGAGTAATGTTCTGCCTACAAGTTTGACAGGAGAAATTACCGCAGAGGAGGTGGTTAAGGCCATTGATAGTCTGACCATTAAGAAAACTCCTGGGCCAGACGGGTTTATCAGCTGAATTTTTTAAGACCTTCAAATCTAGCCTGGCACCTCGCCTAGCGGAGGTGTATAATTGCTGTATGAGTGAGGGGTCCCTCCCTCCCTCCATGAGGCAGTCTGCGGTGATTTTAATGGCAAAGGGTAAGGATCCTTCGGTTATTGAGAACTGGCGCCCCATTAGCCTTCTCAATGTCGATAGAAAGATTCTGGCTAAGATCTTGTTCTGGCGCTTGTCATCAGTGGCAGAGGGTCTGCTTTCTCGTCAGCAGCATTGCTCGGTCCAGGGCAGGAGTACCTTTACAGCGGTGTTAGCTGTCCGGGAGGCTCTGGAGCGTTGTAAGGCTGAAGGATGGGGAAAGTTCTTGCTGGCAGTGGATCAGGCAAAGGCCTTTGATCGTGTCAACCATGAGTACCTCTAGTGTCTCCTTGACCGCTACGGCTTGGAAGGGAGGTTTATTGGCTGGTTAAAAATATTGTATAGGGAGGCTGAGAGCTTCATGTTGGTGAATGGCTGGGTTGGGCAGCCTTTTGGGGTTGCATCTGGGGTGCGCCAGGGGTGCCCTCTGAGCCCCTTGCTCTACGTCTTTGCCATTGACCCCTTCGTCAGGAGGCTAGATGGTGGAGCGTTGGGCGGGGTGCCGGGGGGTGCTGCTGGAAGTCCGCCCCTGAAGGTTGTAGCTTATGCTGATGACGTTTCTGTTTTCATCTCTGGGTCTGAGGAGGCGCAGGAGGTGGGCTCAGTGATGGAACAGTATGCCGAGGCGTCTGGCTCCAAGGTCAACCAGGACAAATGTGAAGTTCTCTGGATGGGTAGAGAGGGTGAGAGCTTCTCGCTCCCGGACACCTTCCCGGGTGCCTCAGCCAAGCATAAAAATTTTGGGCATCAATTTTGGCCATGCCGATTATGGCAAGCTAAACTGGGAAGCCAAGTTGTCTGATGCAGAGGTCAAGGTCAGATGCTGGAAGGGGTGGCGGCTCTCCTTAAGGAAAAGGGTTGACCTGATCAAGACTTTCCTGATTCCGGTATTTCTGTATGTCAGTTACATCTGTCTCTTGCCAGAATCACTCTATACGAGGGTTTACAGCTGTTTCTTCCAGATGTTATGGGGAAATAGGCTAAACCTTGTTAAGCGGAACGTAACTTATTCATCCAGGCGGGAGGGGTGGCCTAGGTATGGTCAACCCGGTAGTTTTTTTCTCTCTGATGTTCTTGAAACATAACTTTGGTAGCATGTTGGCAGAGAGACCGCCTGCATGGGTAGGACTTTTTCGTGCCTGGTTTGGACCCTTTCTGAACAGTTGGGAGAGTGGCGGGCCAGTGAGAAGCCTGCGGGTCAAGCACGGTAAGCTCCCGGCTTACGTGGCCCCGTGCCTGAAGTTACTCCGGCGGTGGCATGTGACGGCGGAGGAGGTCAGGTCCCTCCCTAGGAAACTCCTGGATGAGAGGATTGTGGCTACCGCTTTCCATGCGCCATTGGCCCTGAAAGATTGCCCAGGCCATATTATGAGGGAGGGTTTGCGTTTATTAAATCTGGAGCGGATCCCCCTGAAGTTGAGGGACCAGGCCTGGCTCGGCTTCCATGGCAGGCTTTACGTAAGGGGCAACCTGAAGTGCCGCCCTCTGGATGACCGTGGTTGTCCGAGGGTGGAGTGTGGGGGTGAAGTGGAGAGTATGGACCACTTCTTGCTTCAGTGCCCCTTTAACGTTGAAGTATACAAAGAGGTGGGTGGGGCTTTGGGTGTCTCTTTCCTCCACTGCATGTCTTATGCGGAGTGAGTGTATGGAGCATTTGAAAGCCACTCGGGTTTTGATTTAGACACCTTGTTTCTAGTTAGTTTAGTGGTCCGTTATTACACGTGGAATGCACGGTGTCAGGTTTCCATTCGGAAAAAAGTCCTCCCTGTCCAGGTGGTGGTGTGTGGCATTCTTGGTGAGGTTGGGAAAATCGGGGTCTTGAGAAAGACCGGTGGCGGCGAAAGGCTTGGTTGGAGGCGTGGAGGAACATCAGGCCTGTAGCTGCTGCCTGTTGATCTCCGGTGGTGGTAGCTATCCCTGTTTCTTCTCTTTGCACCCCCTTAGGTTTTTTGTAGTTGTGGATTTGTTTTTTGAAGAAGGGTTGCAGGTACTGAGGGTCTGTGTTTTTTTAGTCTTCCTCTTGGAGTTTTGTATTATCTATCTTGGTGTGTTCTTGGTTGAGTCTTGGATTTAGGCCGTAAAGGTCTTTTGCAGCAGGAGGTTGGAAATTGTATTTGATCCTTTTGGGTTTGGCCATATAGGCCATAGAGGCCTTGTGTATGCATGGTGGGGGCGCCGGGCCTGTTGTTCCCTTCATGACTATGTAGGCCTGGAGGCATATGTTCTTTCTTTGCAGTTTATGGACCCTTACTTTTGGGCCATTAAAGCCATGTGTTGTGGTAATTTTGCTTGTTTCTTTCCCCAGGAAATTCTGGACTTTCTGTCACGTATAGTGATTATATTTTGGGCCATAAATGCCTTGTGGATACATGTTGGGGGCATTGGGCCTGTTGTCCTGCTTTGTGGGGCGTCGGGCCTGTTGTCTTCTCCATGTCCATATAGGTCTGGTTGCATATGTCCTTTTGCTTTGCAGGTTATGGACTCTTATGTATGGACTCTTATGTAATGGGCCATAGGTCATATGCCATATTCTATGTTTTTCTTTCCCCAGGAAGTTCTGGGTTTTCAGTCATGCATGGTGGCTAAATTTTTTTGGCCATAAAGGCCTTGTAGATACATGTTGGGGGCATTGGGCCTGTTGTCCTGCTCAGTGGGGTGTCAGGCCTGTTGTCTCCTCCATGACTATATAGGTCTGGATGTATATGCTTTCTTTGCAAGGTTATGGACTCTTATGTTTGGGCCATTTAAAAGCCATATGGTTTGCTGTTTCTTTCCCCAGGAAATTCTGGACTTTCAGTTATGTGTAGTGATTATGTTTGTACTTATTTATTTATTTATTTGCAATTTTTTTGTACTTTTGTAAAAAAATAGTTTAAGTTGGGTGGTTTTGTAAGCTTACATTATAAAATAAAATATTTCCCACCATTATTGGCAAGTCCATTCCTGACAGTACCCCCCCTCAAGGAGTGGCCTCAGGACGCTCCAAACAGTCCTAGCTGGGCAAAATGTTCCACCGCCTGGGTCTGGTAACTGGCGGGATATCAAAGACTGGCACATCGGGCTGGACTCCGGGCAGCGGCACATCGGGCTGGACTCCGGGCAGCGGCACATCGGGCTGGATTCCGGGCAGCGGCACATCCGGCTGGACTCCGGGCAGAGGTACAGGGCCCCGAGGAGGAGCGGCAGGCACAGGGCCCCCAGGCGGGGTGGCAGGCACCGGGCCCCCAGGCGGAGCAACAGGCACAGGGCTACCAGGAGGAGCGGCAGGCGCCGGGCCCCCAGGAGAAGCGGCGGGGGCGTCGGGCCCCCAGGAGGAGCGGCGGGCGCCGGGCCCCCAGGCGGGGCGGCAGGCACCGGGCCCCCAGATGGAGCGACGGGCGCCAGGCCCCCAGGCGGAGCAGTGGGCGCCGGGCCCCCAGGCGGGCGCGGCGGGCGCCGGACCCCCAGGAGGGGCAGCGGGCACCAGGCCCCCAGGCGGAGCGGCGGGCACCGGGTCATCAGACACGACAGCGGGCATCGGGTCACCAGGCATCAGGTCATTTGGCTCGCCAGCGGGCACCGCGTCATCTGACAAGGCAGTGGGCACCGAGTCACCAGGCACGACAGTGGGTTCCGAGTCAACTGGCATGACCGCGGGCACTGGGTCAGACATTGGATCGTCTGGCTCGACAGCGCGCATCGGGTCACCAGGCATCAGGTCATTTGGCTCGACAGCGGGCACCGCGTCATCTGGCAAGGCAGTGGACACCGAGTCACCAGGCACGACAGTGGGCTCTGAGTCAATTGGCACGACAGCGGGCACCGGGTCATCTGGCGCTGGATCGTCTGGCTCGACAGCGGGCATCAGGTCACCAGGCATGACAGCGGGCACTGGGTCATCAGGCATTGGATTGTCTGGCTCGACAGCGGGCATCGGGTCACCAGGCATCAGGTCATTTGGCTCGCCAGCGGGCACCGCGTCATCTGGCAAGGCAGTTGGCACCGAGAGTCACCAGGCACGACAGTGGGCTCTGAGTCAATTGGCACGACAGCGGGCACCGGGTCATCAGGTACCGGATCGTCTGGCTTGACAGTGGGCATCGGGTCACCAGGCATGGCAGCAGGCACTGGGTCATCAGGTATCGGATCGTCTGGATCGACAGCGGGTACCGGGTCATTAGGCATTGGATCGTCTGGCTCGACAGCGGGCATCGGGTCACCAGGTATGACAGCGGGCACCGGGTCATCTGGCGTTGGATGGTCTGGCTCCACAGCGGGCATCGGGTCACCAGGCATCAGGTCATTTGGCTCGACAGCGGGCACCGCGTCATCTGGCAAGGCAGTGTGCACCGAGTCACCAGGCACAACAGTGGGCTCTGAGTCAATTGGCTCGACAGTGGGCACCGACGGTCATCAGGTACCGGATCGTCTGGCTCGACAGCTGGCACCGGTCATCTGGTGCTGGATCGTCTGGCTCGACAGTGGGCATCGGGTCACCAGGCATGACAGCGGGCACTGGGTCATCAGGCATTGGATCGTCTGGCTCGACAGCGGGCATCGGGTCACCAGGTATGACAGCGGGCACCAGGTCATCAGGTACCGGATCGTCTGGCTCGACAGCGGGCATCGGGTCACCAGGTATGACAGCGGGCACTGGGTCATCAGGCATGATAGGATCATCAGGCTGGATCAGTTCATCAGGCTGGGTACAGACATCAGGCTGGGTAGGGACATCAGGCTATAGTGCGGGTGCCGAGGCACCAGGCTGAACCACGGAAGGCAGGTTCTCAGACGGCAGGCCCCCCGGTTTGGATACTGGCAGGATGGTATTGGTTGGAAAGAATTTTCGCTTTTTTCTGATTTTAACTACTGGAGCACTGCAAGTAAATGCAGGTCTGCAAACGAATGGAGCAGCTGAGGACAGAGAAGAGCTGGAAGATGGAACAGAGGAGGGAGCAGCCGCCACAGAGGACCTCTCCACAGGGCCAAAGAAAGGATAGGTGCAGCGAGTGGGAGCAGGGGACTGGTATGTGGTAGAGTATACTGGGCCGTCACTGGGGGTGCTGTCGGGGATGCAGGAAGAGTGCCTTGAGCAGAGGAATGACGTTGCAAGCTGACAGAGGCTGGGTGCAACAAGTCTGACCATGTCTGCAGTATGGGTTGAACAAAGCTGAGCTTACACAAAGCCTGTCTGGTCAAAGACTGCACTGCGTTTATACAATCCCTTAATACCTGTGGTGAACATGCAGCATAATGCTCCAAGAAGCAATCCACATCATCCTCTAATAACCATACCAGGGACTCTATCTGGTCTGCACTAAATGGTGGCAAAAAGTCATTCCTGCTTTCAGGGGTACCAGATGAAGCCAACTCTACACAAACCTGAATCAAAGGTTGCACCTCAGAGAACTCTGTGCCCTGATCTACTAGAACATGAGCGATCCGTATACATTCTAGCAGTTGATCCCGGGTATACTCCCTCAGGGTCTGATAAGCATATTCTCTGTCATCAAAAACTAGCAGCGACAAATACACAACCTCAAGATCCATCCTTCCCAGCAACAATCCAAGATGGCTTCCCTGTGCAGCCACTTCTGGTCAGGATTGGCCTTGGTGTAATGTCAGGGCTCCGGGTATGACCAGAGGTATGTGAACTGACGCAGGGAAACGCAGGCTTCAGATATGTTATAAACAATATAATTTATTAATACTAACAATACATAAACGCAGTGCAATACTAAAACATAACACAGTACAAACGAACCAAACCAAACCACCCACAGATAACAATACATACAGTGCAAGCGAAGTCAGGCAGACCGGGTCAACAACAATCGGGCAGGTAGGAACAGGAGGAGCAGGCAGAGAGTAGTCAGGTCACGGGCCGGGTACAGCAACTAACGGGCAGGTAGGTACAGGGGGTCAGGCAGAGAATGGTCGTGGTCACAAGCCAGGGATCAAACAGGAGAAGTCAGCAGAGGTCCGGATCAGGCAGGATCGGCAACAAATCAGTCAGACAGGAACAGGAACAGGAATGCAGGTAACAAGATACAGGGGCCCATAGAAAAACACACACCAAGGCACAGACTGCAGGTCTGGCCATCCCTTAAATACACCTGCAATCAGCCTCAGGTGTTTTGGCTGACTGCAGGGTTGAGTCTCTGATTGCTGAGAGCACCCGCTGGCCAGCCCTGGTACTGCAGCCCACAAGGCAGGTGAGTCCCACCATTATTGGCAAGTCCATTCCTGACAGCGACGCTCCCTTTACATCCCTATTCCACTGCAATAAACATAATAACCTAAACATAAATGCATGTGCTAATTTTTATGATCAGTGAAAATTCAAACAATGGTCAATATAATATTAAATTGTGCATCCAGAGGGACGTGGCCTGAGCGGCATGGTGTGAGGACGCCTGAGCGTTGAGCTCCGGCTACCCGGGACAGAAACTACTATACAGCAACGGTCTCCTGTTCTCCTGCCTCCCCCATCTATGCTTCCTAAATGTTGCACCTCTTCCCATCCACCCGGAGGTGGAAGATCATGGGCAGGCGGGCTACAAACCTTCACACCGCACTCGGCCGGGTCAGTGGCCAAGATGGCGCCTGACCACGAGGCCACCCTGCGCTCCTCTCCTACTTACAGTGGCGGTTCCCCTGCATCATCGCTCTCCTCACAGGTACTGTGCCCTAGTCCCTCGTCCCCATCCAGATCGGTTGCTGGGTCCTCCTCTCTAATGGAGCTGGGTGCTGTCGCGGTCGAGTGGGATATTAGGGAACATATTAGAGCTCTCCCCACTAAGGCGGACATACAACAACTTATTGCAGCTGTGGCGCTCTCGTGCAAACAGGCCATAGAGGGGATTAGAGAAGACACTGTGGCACTGGGAAATAGAGTGGAGGCTTTGGAGACCAACCATGATGATGTTTTGCAAACTATTACTACCTTACAGGAGACTGTTCTTCATCATGAAGATGTGTTCTATAATTTACTTGATCAGCTGGGTGATCAAGAAAAAAGGGACAGGAGACAGAATATTCGCATTCGCAGCTTGCCTGAAGCTACTCACATGCCAAACCTACTACCTACTGTACAGGGCCTGTTTCGCCAGATTTTGGGTGATGCTGCCCCTGAGGCAATTGAATTGAATAGGGTCCACAGAGCCCTCCTGCCAGTTCCTCAAGCTGCTGACAACCTGCGGGACATTATTTGTAAGTTGCACAGATATTCAGTGAAAGAGGCAATTATGAAAGCTGATCACACTCTCCTCTCCCCCATATTGGTTTTGATGGGGCCACTATAGCACTCTTTCCAGATTTGTCCAGATGGACCCTCATGAAAAGACGGGCTGTTCGTCCCCTGCTTGATGTCTTGCGTGCAGCCCAAGTGCCTTATCGTTGGGGTTTTCCTTTTAGCCTGACTGCATCCCGAAATGGAAAGACTGCAACATTGCATACTAATGATGACCTGTCACATTTCCTTTCCACATTGGCTCTTTCATTGACTGAATTTCTGGATTGGAGGTTGCACAGGTCCATCCCGCTTGCACGATGCCAGGATCGCTGGCAACAGACTTCTTCAGGGTCCCGCAGAAGGAATCGCATGGGCCGAAGGGGTCCAGACTTGGCCTCCTCCCATCCAGATTGATTTATTATGGTCTGTGTTTTTTGTTAGGCTGAGCGTACCTGCCTTAATATTTGCACTAAGTTTTCTCATATTGCCTTTGGGCTTCTGTTGAGTATGTCAAGATATATATATATATACACTGTATATATATATATATTTTTATTTTTTTTTCATTTTTATCATGCTGCTGTTTTCACAATGCTGCTGTTTATACTGTTGTTTATACTGTTTTATATATGGTTTTATTCTTTTGAATCTGTCCTGTGGTGGCCGGATGGCACCCCTGCTGTATCTTTAGTCATATCCTCCACATTAGGCCAGTCCTCTGGTGGAGGACTTGTACTCTGCGTTTTTGCAGTAGAGGTGGCCCCTCTGGGGAAAGGCCTTTTTCTCCTCCCCACGGAGGTTATCTCCTTAGAAGTTCCGCTTCTTTTCATGTGGATTGAATTATATCCTTTTTCCTTTCTATTTTTTTTTTTGTTTTTTTTTTTATTAGTTTGTGTGTTGATTTCCATCCAGGTGACTGTAGGGTCTCAATTTTTCTTTGTTTAATTATATATACCCAATGTACTTTATTTAGTCGACTGGTGGATTTAGTGTATGTTACCGGTCTGACTATGCTTCTTCACTGATACAGTACCTATGGCCAATAAGTTGAACAC